CGAATGTCCGACTCAACTGGGCAGCTGCTTTACGACAGCGCCGGCGACTCGTTAAAAATTAGCTAAAAACGCAAAATACAATTGGCATAAAAGAAAGAAACAACAACACAAGAGAGAAAAAAATTGAAATGTTTATATTTAAATATACAGCGAGCAGCTGTTTTGCACTGACAAGGCAGGGCCACATTCACACATACATACACATTCGCTATTGAGACCCCAACTGACCTCGCCTAGTGCTGCGTAATCTCTGCCTCTCTCTCTCCCTTTCCCACTCCTCCACGATTTACTTTCGATGACGGCATTTCTGCTAGTTTTTAAACTGTTCCGCGCATAACAGTAAATGTAAAAAAAATACTGTTTAGTGTATGTTTTAAAAATAGTACCAAAATTAAATCAGCCGAACACTTGCTCTCTCCCACTCTCGCGCTCTCTGACTCTGACTCTGCTGATGTTGTCACCCATTATCGTTTTTAGCGCGTGAGTGTGAGTGTGTAGAAAACACATGTTTGGCGCCCATTGTTGTGGGCGCGCACCAGCTGAGTGTAACAGAGCGAGTGCGAGCGAACCAAGACTTGTGGGTATCGCTCTCTCCCTCTCTCAGCGTATGTATGTAAGCATCAATGCCGGCAGCACTGTAGTAGCCGCAGCTGTTTTTCTGCTTTGCGCATACTTGAATACCCACATGTGTGTGATTTCGCGTGTGTGTGTGTCTGATGTATGGATGAGTGTTTCGCCAAAAAGTTTTGCAAAAACGAGCCAAAGCTGCAACGTGTGCGGCCTTCTCAAATTCCGTTATGTTTTTTTTTTTTTTTCTATGCAATATAAATGCTTGATTGTGTGTGTTGCTAATTTTAGCGAAAAATTCGACATGCAAAAGCTCAGCGCTATGAAAATTGCTAATTAATCGCAAAACGTTAGATCAACTATGCAAAAAAAAAAAAAAAAAATGAAAATAAAATAAAACGCATACCATAAACGGAAGGAGAATTAGTAGCAAAAGAGTAGAGCAACATGGAGCTACAATCCTAATGTCAGCTGACTTGATTTCTTTGCTAACAGTGCTCTCGCCCCCCGAACCCAGAAAGCAGATGATAAATTTTAGCTGCCATCACACACACATCTACAGACACACATTCCGCTATTTCTTACATTTAGTCATGCTCTCACACTCACACACCTGTCGTTGGGCCGGCCACTGAGAGAATAGAAGAGAGATAAGCGGCGAGAACAAACACAGCGCTAATTGTTTGCCGCCAACAAAACGTGCGACGCAATAGAAGCGAAAAAATAGGTAAAAGCAAAAGCAAATGCAAATGCAATTGATGATAAGAAATGCCTAAACTGGGCTTTACTGTGCATATTTCTTAGAAGAAATATAATATCGATCAATTTGAGTTGTTGATATGTACATACAAACATATTTACATTGATATGTTTGTGTATATCTATGTATTTCAATATGTACATATCTAGTAATTAAAATCAACTTAAATTTAGTTCATTGAAATAGATTTTTTTATATGTTTATTTATGTTGGGCCATGCTTATACGCACGTAGGCCACACAGCTGCCCCAAATGTAAGGGGGCGGGGAACTTAGCTTTTTCCCTGCATTTGTGGTGGTTGCTCTTCTACTCACACCCATACACATAGTACATAAATAAATACATACATATATACATACATAAATATGTATGCCGTAGTACATGTAACTGCCAACTCAGCTGATGATGACGAATCAGCAGCAGTTGGCGGGCTCAATTGCAAGTATTTTCGGCTATTTTTATGCATTTTATTCAATCAACAACAAATACAAGAAAATTGTAGCGTAGGGCCACAAGAAGAACAGCAGCAGCAGCAGCAGATACAGGGGCTGCCTCGCCGTCAGACGCGCCATTTATAGAAACGAAGCAGACAGCAAACAACAACAGCAGCGAGTCAGCTGCTGCTGCCGCTGCTGCTGTTGCTGTACAACATACACACACGTTTCGTATTGCGCTAAAGAGAGACAGAGAGGGCGAGAGAGCGCGCGTGTATTTCCAATACAAATTGGAAGTAACTGGAAGTATTAAGAGAACAACACACGTGTTTACGTTGACGCCTAAATGAGTGTAGAGCGTAAGAGTGAGCAAGTGGCGTCGGCAAAAGCTTAAGTCCACATGTTTTTTCGCTACAGCCGCTGCTGTTGCTGCAGTACCATTTCCGTTTCAAGCAAGACGAAACGAAACGAAACGAAATGAGATGGCAACGAAACTTAACGAAGCCGCGCTCTCGCTCTCACTGACTAGCGTGTGTATGTACATGTGTATGGGAGAGAGAGAGTGAGAAAGAGCGCAGCACGCTAGCAACATTTGTGACGCCGGCGAATATTGAAAAACTTTTCGTATTGGAACTGTTGCTGCTGCTGCTGCCTGCGCTTGTTTGGTGGTGTGTTTTGTGTAGCGGCCGTGTTGGAAAAAAGTACAGTCGCCGCAAAAACGACGCCGCTGCCTGCGCGCAGCCGTTTGCTCTGCTTGTTTGGCTGGCTGTCTGGTTGGTTGTTGGTTGGTTGGTTCGTTGGTTGGTTGCTCGCTCGAACGCGTTGGCTGGGATTCTTGTTGGAACAGCAATGAGTGTAGCGCGCGCGTCTAATCGGCTTTTTGTTTACACTCACACCAATGGCACATCCACGTATGTGCATGTGTGTGTGTGCGATTGCCTGCTGTACAGCTGTGGCTCTTATTTATTTTTATTTGTATTTTTTGCGCTTGGGGCATTCGGTGGTGTACAGCCTTTTTTTTTTTTCCCGGCATTTTCCGACTGCGTCGCAGATATGACGACGACATTTTCTTATTAGCCAAGGCCTTAGTTGCCGGCCTAACTGCAGCTGCCAGCTGCCTGATGGGCAACATAATTTGACAGAAAAGATTCGTTTTATATGAAAACAACGCGGATTGGACTAAGTGCCTAATGCTTTCCAATTGGTTTCGCTAGCAGAACTTGAAAAATTATTAAAAATATTCTAAATGCATTCTAATTGGGTTAAATTATGAAGTAGTTAGACTTATTAAAAGCTTTTATTATAAAATGGGACTTAACAAACTTATATACGCATTCGAGTTAGAATTTCTCCTTTTAATTTTTTCAAGAACAAAAAAATTAAACAAAGACCATTTCCAGTGTGTAGTTTTGTCTGCAGTTATCTTAGCTGATTTTAAGGTTTTTCATTTTAAATAATTTTTTAAATATATGTATGTATCTATTTATGATTATTATTTTCTAATTGGTAAATTTTGCTAATTATTTTTGCTGCAGCTTTACAATGCTTGGCTGGCTTCCAATACGCTTCCAATATACAATAAATCAGAATAAGTCAATGAACGGCCTTTGGTAGCCGACAGCAAAAGCAACAGCAACAACAATATATGAAACTAAATAGAATAAATTAACATGTCGCAAAATAAATGCAAAATGTGCTTTATTATGCTCTTTTTTTATAAAAAAAAGTGCGCGCGACATTGCGCTGATTTTTATCACAGCAAAGCTGAGAAAACTGTACTCTGTCGCTAACTCACTCACACTCTCTTTAACTGTCTCTCTCTCTCTCGTCCTCTCTCTGTGTCTCTATTTACAAGATATCAAAACAACGTAATAGCTTTGCCCAGACAGCTGTGCATGAAGCAGGAGGCAATGACAGAGACTGAAGAGAGTCATAGAGAGCGAGAGAGAAAGAGAGCAGTTGGCAGCAGCTGTGTAGCCGGTGTCATGAGCTAGTTGCTGTTGTTGTTGTTGTTGTAGTAGTAGTGACCTCCGACAACAAGCCGCATGTCCAGCAGAAATTGTGAAACAAGTTTTATGGTTGCATCCAGCAGCAGCAGCAGTAGAAACCACAAAACAGATTTATTATTTTTTAATCAAAGCCAATGCAAAAGAATTTCCACAAAGCTTCTCGCATTCCTGTGCCATGACTTTGCTACGCTGCGCTGCGTTGCTCTGCTCTGATCTGCTGCGCTGCTGCTGTAACTTGCATTCCTTTTGGGTGTTGCCAGAGTGTTTCTTATGTATGTATGTACGTACATATGTATATGTATTTATTATGGTTTATGTTGCCTTGTTTTGTTTTTATCTCCTCAAATTGCTCTTTGCGCCTACGTTGCTTTCTATGCCAGTTTGTACCGTTATGCGTAGCCCACGCATATTTGCAGTGTAGGCAAACATGGAAAAGAAACTCAAAAATGCGCAAAACCAACTTTTTGCATGCACACAAATGTAAATATGCTGCATATGCATGTGCATGTGGCCGCATGTGTATGTGTTTGTGAGCTCTGTTTGTGCTGAGAACGCGCGCATTTTGAAGGACACAAGTTCCTTAACCTCTCTCAAGCCACCGACACTGCAGAACATAACACAACTCAGCATAAGTAAAGAAAATGAAGAAGAAACTGAGAAACAAAAACAACAGCAACCTAAACAACAACTGCAGCGAGAGATTTACTACACTATTTACTATAAGCGCTTCCACCACTCATGCAAATTCCAGTACATTCAGATTTTGTGTATCCATGCAATTTAAATACACATTTATGTCTGTGTGTGTGTGTATGTTTTTGCGGTAATTATCAAAGCTTGCCTGCTCTCTCGCTCTTACTCTTTTGGTAATTATGCTGCGCTGCTCTGAGCTCTGCTGCGACGTCTTGTGAATGAGTTTCATTGTTAACAGAGCAGACGGCGGCTGTTGCTGTTAGTGTATGCAGAATGTGTATGGATGACAGAGTGAGAGAGCGGTTGAAAGAGGGGCTAGAGTGACAGACTGTCTGTGGCGTTTACACGATGAAATTGACTTATGCAAATTTGAATATAAAGAAGGGATATTAGTTTTTGAATATAAGAAACGATTAATGAATAGAGAAAATGATAATTTTCCTTATCATGGCAGAAAAGGCAAGATCTATAAATATAATTTAATTTAATGTGAATAAAAAAACATCACTAATGTCATTTATGCATTTTTACTTGCAGGCTGCCATATTGCAACAGACCTTCCAGTATATTGTCGATCTTGAGAATCAGAAGACTCAGCTGCTCACACAGAACAGCGAGCTGAAGCGACAAGTGGGCGAGCATGAGGCACATGGAAGTAGTGGAGGAGGCGGCTCCGCAGGCGACAACTACAACAGCGGCGGCAATGCTAACGAATCGAGCAACAACAACACGAGCTCCTCGAGCGCCGTGGCGATCAAGAAGCGGAAGCTGACAGACAACGTGATCAACATGCAAACGATTAGCGATAGCTCCGATGAGGGATTAGGATCCATGTCCCCGGAGCCGATGACCCTGCTGACAGCCGGTGGGGGCGGGGCTGGAGCAGCAGCAGGAGCTGGCAATAAGTTGAGCAATGCGAGCATCATTGCGGCCAAGGAGCTGCTGGAGATGAAGAAGCAGCTGGAGAAGGAGCGCAACCTACGACGCCTGCTGGAGGATGAGCTGCAGATGATCAAGCGACAGCTCTACAGTGTGGCAACAGCACCGCCCGGTACAGCTGTGGCCGCGGCCGTCGCCAACAGCGGGAGCAGCTCCTACATTCCAAGGGAAGTCATCGAGCACACGGACAACTTTGTGCGCGCCGATGAGCTGGAGGAGCTGGGCGGCACCGTCTCGTACGTGGAGATCGACGAGATGACTGGCCAGCAGCAGGTGGTCGTCTGCTCGAGCATTGAGGAGCTGGAAGGAGATGCGGCAGCCGAGATCATTAGCGAGGATCAGGTGCACGAAGAGGTGATACTCTCCTCCAACTCCTCGACCGAATCGGAGAATGAGGTGAACGTGAATGCCATTGCCAAAGCCTATGCCGAGGGCATGAGCACTCCCATTCTTCAAGCGGCCATCAAGGCGACGCCCAAGGTGGAGGTGGAGCGCATCAACGAGAAGATCGTCAAGGTCAAAACGGAGAAGCTGCACGATCAGCCCTCGGCCACGGCGATGTCCACGACAACGACGACGACGGCAGTCTTCACGCGCTCCCGCCAGAATCTGGAGACCATTGTGGAGGCCATACGTCACCTGGAGGGGGATCATCTCTTTGACGGCGACCAGCAGCACAAGCTACAACAGCAGTATCAACAGCAGCAGCAGCAAACCCAACAGCAACATCAGCAACAGCAACACCAGCAGCAACAGCATCAGCAGCAGCAACAGCAACATCATACGCAGCAGCAACACCATCAGCAGGATGTACTGCATTCGCATCATCAGATCATTAGCACAGCCGCCGGATATCGTTTGGCGCAGGATGCGCCGTTGGCTCTCACCACGGGCAAACAGCATGCAGCGCTGGCCGAGCTGCGACCCTTTCTGCAGCTGAAGGGCAACAAGCAGGTGATCATCACAACAAAGTCGGCCAAAGATGTTGTGGGCACACCCTCGGGCACCATCTTCAAGGTGCAGACCAGCAGCGGGACAGCAACGGCGTCTGCAACAGGCTCCACATCAGCAGCGGGCGGAGCAGCGAGCCATCATCATCAGCCTGTGACCATTACGACATCATTGAAGCAGTGTCGTCCAGGTGTCATTGTGGCCAAGCAGCTGCCGTCGTCCTGATTGCCTAGCAGCAACACTAGCAACAACATCAGCAGCAACAGCAATAGCAACATTAACAGTAACAGTGTTCCTCTACACATTGAAGCGTCAGCGACAGCACGCGCTAGTATTAAAAGCCTGCGCAATAACATAACGGTAACAGCAGCTCCTACAGCAACAAAGACCGCAGCAACTGTAAAACTTGTAATGCCTAAGCGACGCAACTATGTTAAGCCACAACAGCCGCATGTGCAACAACAGTATTGCCTTAACAAAGCTGTCAAACGGCAATGAATTTAACAGCTGTTGAGCTAACGGAGTTCAAATGTATAGTTATAGCTGTCAAACTGCTGCT